CAGTGTTGTAGTAAAAATAATGGCTAATTTTTTTATAGTTGTTGGCTTGTATTAATAATTGAAACAATGTTTTATTTTTATTTTTTCTATGCTACGTATGTAATGTAAGTTTTGGTTTGTTTATATGAGTTAAACAATGGATGATTGTTTATAGTAGTCAGCTTGTATTAAAATTTGAAACATTGTTTTAGTTTTTTTCTATGTTATGTAAATTTTGATTTGGTTTGGTTTGGTTTGGTTTAATTTTGTAAGTTAAAACATTGGATAATCATTTGTCATTGTTGGCTTTATTAAAATTTAAAACAATGTTTATGGTTGATTGTTTATAGTTGTTTATGACAAAGTTTTTCAAGGAGTCTTTGGATAATTAACTTTTTAAGACAAATTTCACTTTATATTTTTTGTGGTATTGGCTATGTGTACCTAATCTCTCCATCATTTATAAATAATTACTAAACTCTTTGTAGTTTTTGAATTACACATGTTTATATTTTTAACTGACAGAGTTTGTGTACATAATCTATACCACAGGTGTAAATTGGTGAGTTTAATTCAAAAATAAGAAAAAGGTTTTAATCTAAGAAGCACGGACACTTCTAAGAAGGTGACGTATCCGTGTCGTGTCCGTGTCGGACACCGACACTCTTTGGACACTCTTAGGACACGTGTCCGATACTCTTCAAAACGTGTCCTATTTTTTAAATATTTTTAAAAACCCGGACACTCTTTGGACACTTGGAGGACACACGTGTCAATTGTTTAAACACATGTGTCTATTGATTATACATATGTGAAACTAATTATAAGTTTGAACAAAACAACTTAAGATACAATAATAAAACAAAAACCATATAAATTTATAAGAATTAGTACTATATTGCATTTTTTATTATCTTTGAATGATATATTCATATATATAACATATAATAAATATATAAAATTATATATTTCATGCATGTCCTCCGCGTGTCGTGTCCTGCATTTTTTTAAAATTAACGTGCCGGCGTGTCCGGGTCGTATTCGTGTCGTGTCACGTGTCCGTGTCCATGCTTCTTAGGTTTTAATTCACAAATCATAAAGAGTTGAAGTGTGTTGGTTTCTGATGAGGATTAACCCAATTGGGAACTTATTCCAAAACTTATCAACATGAGAGTGGCATTTTATGTTGGAGATTTTGTCTAAAATTTTTGAGTAGTCATAAAGCCTTGTTAAGGGACTCTGGTTGTTTTTGCAAATGGAGGTTTTGGGCTGATGTTTTGCTGCTGTTTTGTTTCTGTTTTGTTTTGGGTGCGTGAATTTTTTTTGGTGGCAAATTTTACTTTATTCTATTGTAGTTTGATTTATTTGTAATTTTTTCCCTTATCATTTAGAAATACTCACATAAATTTTTATGTAATTTGTGAATTAAAGTGTACCATCAAATATTACATTTAAATTAACTGCAAGTGTGAAACTTGTGTCAAGACATAAAAATATTATGTGCTCATTTATAAATGTCAAGTGGTAAATTGCATATGGATTAATCATTCCAAGAAAAAAAAATTGCAAATGGATTAAAGCAAACTAGTTGAAGAAAAAATTTCGACTCTTAAAAAATTATGAAAATATTTGTGATTTGTACATTAAAGGTCTTTATTTACAAAAGTATTTTAGTTTTTTTACTTAAGTAGTTAATGGACCTGACAATATATTTTGGTCTACCAATCATATGGAGGTTATATAATTATGTTTAAGAGATAAATCGTTCATGAGTCAAACTAAAAGGAGTAAAGTAAAATTTACCTTCTTCTTTATTTTTCTGTGTCTTTTTTTTGGACAAATTACACCTGTGCTACTTATATTTTTATTCTTTGTATCATTTTGGTCCGTACACTTTCAATTGGCCCAATTTTAACTTTTAATTTGAGATTTTGTTTTAATTTGGTCCAATTAATAATATGATTAGTGTTTTTTTTTTTAAATTATTACTAAATTGGTTGTAGGGCTGAGTAAAGAATCCGTAAAATTCGTAATCCGATCCGGTCCAGTCCAATCCGATAGGTTTAGATTGGTTTTTTGAATCCGTGATTCGGTTCCGGATTGAAAAAATAAAAATCCATAGTCCACGGATCGGTTCTAAATTGAAACCAATCTGGATCGTATACAAATAGCCTATATTTATATTATACACCCTCTCGTATAATATATTCTCTTATTCCATATAAAACTTAAATCCAACCCTAAACCCATATAGTATCTTCTTTTATTGTTTTTGTTTGTTGGTTTTTAGTTTTAATTTGTAATGGTCTAAATACTTATAGTGGAATCAGTTTTCTTATGATTGTTTAAATTCTAAAACAATATGTTGCTATTGTGAAAAGATATGTTGTTATTGTGGAACTAATATGATGTTATGTTTACATTTTTTATGAAATTAAAATGTTCCTTTTTTTTTTTTTTTTTTTTATTTAATTACATGAATCCGTGGTCCTGATCAAATCAGTGTTTAAATGGATTGGTTTGGTTCCACAATTTAAACGGATTGCATTGGTTCTAATTTTTCAGGAATCGTAGATAATGAATTGATTCTAATTTTATCCTAATCCAGACCAATTCGATCTATGTCACCCCTAATTGGTTGAGATTAACTAACTGAATCTAGTAAGTTTATAATTTTTTTCTTAAAAATTTAACAAATAACACTTATGTGCGAATTTTTTTATAAAAAAATAAATAAATAAAATTACTAAAAATTGTTATCAATTGGACCAAACAGAGACAAAATCACAAATTTATGATCAAAATTGAACTAATTAAAATTATAAAGACTAAAATAATATAAAAATCAAAATACAGAGACTACCGTTATAATTTCCCTCCTTTTTTTTTTCATTGGCTAGTTGATACTATTGTTCAGAAACTGTTTTTTATTTTCTTTTTATTTTTTTCTGCTTTTTCTTTTTTTTTTTCTTTTTTGATTATATATATATATATATATATATATGTACTTTTTTAGGTAAAACTATGTGTTTGGTTGTGTTTTTAAACAATAATTCTACCCCCATATGTCAATATGAGATTGGGAACGAATTCTCAAATCACATTTCCACAATTCTACAGAAAACCCTGTGTGGGGTGCATTTTTCAATTTTTTTTTTTCAAATTTGACCTAACCGATCGTCCCACCGGATGTCCGGCCGGTTGACTGAAATAGTGCTTTTTATTTTTTTATTTTTATTTTTTTGCAATTGACGTATGTTAATTTTTATATATTCGAAAAAAATATTTTTCAAAATTTTTAAATTTTTTTATGTGCTTTAATAGAATTTTGAGTTGTATGTTTGGTTATGAGTTGTAAGTTTTGTATCAAATATCATATGTTACATCGAAAATTTCCTACTCAATTCAAAACTCTTTTACCAAACAAATTTTTCATACACAAATCATAATTCCAAAACTCACAAACTCAAAATACAACTCATACTCTCAAATCATATTTAGAAAACTCTACCAAACGCAATCTAATTTTTTGACTTTTAAAATATATATATATATATATATATAAATAATATAACTCAAAAGTCAAAATTAACTTTTAATCATATTCCCAAATTGACGTTGCTTTAAAAAGCTACTTTTAGAAAAGTATGCTTTTTAAAAAGCTAAAACTAGTGAAGTTCAGCTTGTTTGGTTCTGGTTTTCAGAAAATAGTTTTCAAAAAAAAAAATCATTTTTCATATTTTAATGTTTTCAATGATTTTTTTTTAATATTTTAAACAAATGTTTTAAATTTTTAGACACATCTAACATAAATACACTTGAAAAGTACAATATTTGTGAAAAAAAATCTTTACAAAAAACACTAAATACCAAAAAATACAACAACAACAAAAAAAAACCAAAAATTCAATACATTTTTCGTATTTTTGTGTATTTATTAATTTTTTTAAATATTTTACTATTTAGATACATCTGAGTAAAGTATACCTAAAAAAGTAAAAAAAATTGCTTAAAATTTAAAAAATATTCACTAAAAACAAAAACAAAAACAAAAATAAAAAACTCAGCTTTCGAAAAACTGAATTCAGAAAACTGAAACCAAACAGTATTCCTTTACTTTTTTTTTTTTTTAATTTATATTTTTTGTTATAAAAATAGAGAAAGCTTATCATAGGCGCCTTATCACAAATTGAAATAATTTTATCACAAAATTTCATAACATGACAAGATTAAAATGTTTAAAATTATCATAATAAAATATTTAAAATTTTGTGATCGATGTTACAAAAATTTGTGACTTGATTACAATATTTTTTGTTACGTCAATTTATAACGAGATTAAACATTTTGTGCTTGACATTACGAAACTTTATGAAAAAATTATGCCAATTTGAGGTAACCATATGTTTTCCCTAAAAAATTAAAAAAATAAAAAGTTGACTTTTTTTTTATGAATTATTTTGAAGGATTTTTTGGGGGGTTGTAAACACCACTTTTTTAACAAATAGTTTAACCTTATTCTATGCATACCCTTATCATAAGAATGTTACAAATTTTTTGTAGTGAAAATTATGAATATTTGTAATAAAGATAAAGAATGATGAATGTGTATAACCTTAAATTAAAAGTTATGAACCATTTTGATTAGAAAAGTTACGTCATTGATATGTAGTGATATTTATTATGAAATGTTATGATTCAACTAGTATATATTATGCCATTTTGTTTAGTTTGATTCTCACAATCAATTTTATGAAAAATTAAAAAAAACAAAAAATTAATTTATTTTGAAAGATGAAAAACAAAAAATACATATTATTGAACATTCCATTTCTTAAACACTTCATTTTTAAATTTCTATTTTCTTTTTTATTTTTTAAACACTTTAAATTAATTCTAACCCTACCGCCTGTTGGCATTTTTTGCTTGAAATGCTTTAACATTTTTTGCTTGGTTTAAAGATTTTAGCAAAAATCTAAAAAAGAAGAAGAAGAAAAATATAATATAAAAAAAACGTCTTTCTCTTATCTATATCCAAATTCTTACACCAAACACGCACCCTCCACTTTCTGCTTGTTCTCAGCACTTTGTTCGGTCTTGTTTTGTTTTTGTTTCACAAATTCTAAAGCTTTTACTGAAAAATCTGCAATCTCTTCTTGCTTTGCTTCTGATTTGGGGTTTCCCTTTCCTTCCCTTCTGCAATTGGAATCAATGGCTATCATAGAAGTCTTTCTCGGTGCAATCAAGGAGGATTAGGTGTTAGAAGTTTGGGTCAAGTTAATGAGTGTTTACTTGCTAAATGGTGGTGGAGGTTTTGTAATGAAAAACAAGCCCTATGGAGAAGATTGATCTGTTGCAAGTACAGCAGCAGATCCGGTAGTTGGTTTCACTCCCAAGGTACTATTACTAATTGCTCTTGGATCTGGAAGGACATTATGGGTTTAGCTGCTGATAACCCTACCTTACTCAACTATTTCTTGGTTAACTCAGAATTGGTTGTTGGTAATGGGGCCAATATCTCCTTCTGGAAGGATGGTTGGCTAGGTGGTGACTGTCTTCAATCCCTTTTTCCTAGACTATTTTGTCTTTCTTCGGATAAAGATGGCTCTCTTAAAGATTTCATGGATAGAAAAAGTAGCTACCCCAACTGGAACTTAACCTTTAGGAGACCTCTGTTGGCTTGGGAAGAAGAGGAAGTCCAAAATTTGCAAGTCTTACTGGGTAATGGGCCATTATTAAGGCATGAGGTGGAGGATGGTATGAGATGGAAAGCCTCAAATCAGGGTGCCTTTAGATCATGTGACTTATTCTGTTGGTTGCAGTCTAATAGAGGTCCAGCTGTGTCCATGCCTAAACTTATCTGGAATAACATCACACCACCAAAAGTTCAATTTTTTTCTTGGCTGGCTTGGAAAGGCAGAATCAAAACATCTGTGTTCCTTCATAGCATTGGTGTTCTTAGAGGCGAGGCTGTTACTCAGTGTCACTTTTGCAGAGAAGAACCTGAGTCCCTTAACCATGTATTGCTCCTTTGCCCCTTTACCTGGAAAATTTGGTCTGACATTATAGATTGGTGGGGTTTTCACTGGGTATGTCCAGGCTCTGTGGTGGCCTTATTTGATTGGTGGATTGGCACTAAAATCAGGAAGAAGGAACTCCAAATATGGAAAGCCTTACCACTTGCTGTTTTATGGTCAATTTGGAAGCTCAGGAACGACTGTGTGTTTAATAGTGCTCAACCTAACTCCCTGCAGCTTTGTGAGCTTATCAAGACTAGAGTTGCCATTTGGTTGAAGAGTCACTCTTTTGGGAACTCATACTCTTATTCCATTCATGATTTTATTTTTAACTTCAACCAGACCAGGAGGTGCATTTGATGAATTCTGCTTTTGTTGTGTGCTCTGTGTGTATTGTTCCAAGTGTAATCTCTGTGTGTATTCTGCCTCTGTGTGAGCTCTGCTTCTGTGTTCTGCTTCTGCATTTGTAACGCCCTCAAAATAAAAGCATTAAACCCATTAAATAAGACATGCATTGATATTTAAAAGTTCCACATTCTTCCATTTCAACAGAATTCTATTACATAAGTATTACATGTTAACAACAAAAGCAAAATGCCCTACGGGCTTACAGCTTTCCAAGTTAACACTTGGTTACAACAACAGAGTACTAACTCATACACATTAAGCCCTGGGCTTGAGATTACATGTAATACATCAAAGGAAAACGACAAAAAGTATGTCCACTAGTGGCCTCCCAAGCTATGTCCTTGGAGGTGGCATGCTACCTGCACCTGAAAATGATATTCCCATATAGGGTGAGCCACAGCCCAGTAGAAATATACTAAACCAACCATGAACAATGACTAAAATATTAGCAATTGATAGATGGCCAACACTGATACATTCACATAAATCACACATTTATGCTATACGACTTATAAGTCCACAATACTTTTCATTTTCCCTTTTCAACGGATAGGCATATAAGCACTACCTACATTCTTAACAGATATGTATAACCACAATATCCACAGATAAGCATATAAGCTATATCCACATTCTACAACAGATATGTATAACCACAACATCCACAGATAAGCATATAAGCTATATCCACATTTCACAAAGATAAGCATATGAGCTCTATCTTCACTTCTCTAGACAAGCATATGAGCTCTGTCTACGGAGTTCATCCCCTATCTCCTCCCAATACCTAGCCGGTTTAGAGGTACATCCCCTATCTTCCCCTAAACCGCGGAGTACATCCCCTATCTACTCCTCTACACATAACGTATATAAACACATTGGTCCTATATACAATCACACAATACATACAATTAATGTATTCAATTAACCGTCAAGTTCCATGACACATTTCATTGACTAGTTTCAGTTTGCCTAATCATCATGCATTGCCTACAACAATCACGACTATCCTCCACCGATAGCCCAAAACAGTTATTTCTAAACAGAAAATAAATGCACAACGGATATTCAATCAACATTTCATTTCCTCATTTCTCACCAATTAATTATCCCAATTATAACTGCGAGGTAGTAATGAATCTTCTTCAGATAGGTTATCCCAGTTGGGTATGGAAGTTCCTTGGAGTGGCAGAGAAGGTTCATCTTCATCAACATGATTGTAAAACACTGCATCTGCCATGTGAGCTTCATCTACTCGAAAGGGTTTTTGAGACCCAACATCTCAAAATACCAAAATTTAAAGACAAAATCCATAGAGAGGAGTATGATATCCCTACCTCGAAGTTTGAGCCAAAAAGGAGATAAAGGCTCGAAGATCAACGTGCTCCAAATCCCAACTTTTTCAGATTAACACAAAGCCCTCAATGCCCTCTATCTTTTTAACAAAGGCCCTAGGCTAGATTCACACTCTAGGGAGATCAAATCTTAGAGAGAGTGTAAGTTTAGAGAGAGAGGGTCTCGGATCTAGGGTTTGATCAAAGAAAAGAAGTGAAAAAGTGAAGTTTAAAACGCTACTGTCCGCTGATATAAAACACTCTCGCTCGAGCGACCAGACACAGAAAACTATCGCTCGAGCCAAGAATCCCTCGCTCGAGCCAAAAACTCAAACCTTCAGGTCTGCAACCAGAAGCACGCTCGAGCGACCAACTTCTCGCTCGAGCGAAAGAACAAACCAGACCGCTCGAGCCAAGAAAAGCTCGCTCGAGCCAAGAAACACAACTCTCAGGTCCAGCACCAGGTGCAAGCGCTCGCTCGAGCGAAGCCACTCTGGCTTGACCCACCAGACACAGACTCAACTCTCGCTCGAGCGACCAACTCCTCGCTCGAGCGAAGGTCCAAAAATCTGGGCAGCAACACTAGGCTCCCAAACACAACCAACCTGAAACAAATCTGCCAACACATCCTATAACTCAATATACAAAGTAAAGAGGATGCAAACAAGATAATAAACAACTACCAACATCCACGGACACATGTCCGGATCACTGAACAACAAGAGTAAACCCGGGATTGCTATAGCATTGTTCCTGGTGTGATGTTGGGGCATTTGGCTTCTGAGGCACCTTCCTCAATTCTGTCCTCAATTCTGTCACACTGGTGTAATCTGCTGCAGTGTGTGTTGTTTGCTGATGCTGTGATGTTGCACAGATTTTACAGATTATAGAGAGATTATGGCTGGTCTGTTACTAGTGTGAAGGTGGAAGCTGGAAGCTGGTCTATGCAGATTGATAGTCATGCTGATGTAGGATGCTGGTCTGAGCTGTCTGTGAAGGTAAATCTGGCCCCAGTGAAGCTGTGTGCTCCCTTGGAATTATTGGAGGCTGAAGCTGCTGTGTAGTTTGTATCAGTATGGAGGTTGAGGGATTATGCTCAAGGCAGAGTTGTGGCTGCTACTGTGTGGTTTGGTTTGTATCATGCTTGGTTCTGGTGCATAGATAATCTCCTAATCTGGTCTTTTTATTGGAGGGTGGCATTGATGCTCTGCAGTTGGAATGGTCTGAGGCCCCTCCAGTTTGAGTTTGTTCTCTACAGAAAGACCATGCTCTGCTGTGGCTGCTGCTGTGTGAATTGTATCATGTTGCTTTAGGTGGATTGTATCATGCTTATGCTTCTGTCTAGGTGGCTGGTCTGGTTTCTTTTTTTCTTTTCCCTTTCTCTTGCTCTCTTTCGATTGGTTTCTCGCCAATCTTGGGTCAAGTGCTAGCAGATGATTTTGCTTCCTTTGCGGTGCCAACCTAGTTGGGATTGTTAAGGACAACGGTGATGCTTTTGCACTTCTCTCTTTATTGATGTAAGTTTTATGCTTGTTCTGGTTTTTTCATCAATAAAGTTCTCTTTTGCTTATCAAAAAAATAGAAGTCTTTCTCGGTGCGTTCCTCACACTGCTCTTGGATAAGATGGCCTCTGGTGAGTGGTTGGAATTTCTCCGCCACGAGGGCATTCATACCCAGCTCAGCAATTGGACCAACACTCTCTCCCAAATTCAAGTACTTCTCACTGACGCAGAGGATAAGCAATTGACCAATCGAGCCGTCAACCTGTGGCTGGACGATCTCCAGGACTTGGCATATGATTTGGATGATTTAGTGGACGACTTCTTCACGGAAGCTTTGCGACGCAAGCTGATGTCAGAGCAGCCCCAGGCTAGTTCCAGCAAGGTATGGACCTTCATCCCCACTTGTTGTTCCAATTTAAGGCCAAGTTCTGTCATGTTTAATTTCGAAATGAGGTCCAAGATTGAGGAGATCAATACCAGATTACGCAATAGTTTTGAACAAGGTTCGAAACTCTATTTGGTTAAGATTATTGGAACCACACCTACACCTACGACTAAGACTTGGCAAAGACCAGAGTCTACATCTTTAATTGATGAACCTCACATTTATGGCCGAGAACATGATCAGAGTAAGATAATTGAGCTGCTCGTAAGGGGGGATGAATCAAGTCATAGCAATGTTGCTGTAATTCCCATTGTGGGTATGGGTGGGATTGGCAAGACCACCCTCGCGCAAATGGTATACAACCATGAAACCGTGCAGAAGCATTTCGATTTGAAAGCATGGGCTTGTGTGTCAAATGAGTTTGACATTCTGAGAATAACAAAAGCTATTTATGATTCAGTGACTTCCCAAACATGTAGTTTTAATAACTTGGATCATGCTCAAGTTCAACTAAAGCAGGCTTTGGCTGGAAAGAAGTTTTTAATTGTTTTAGACGATGTCTGGAACAATAAATACAGTGACTGGAATGTTTTGAAGAAACCTTTCAGTGATGGAGCCCAAGACAGTAAAATTGTGGTGACAACACGTAACAGAGACGTTGCAAGAATGATAGGAGCAGTTAAACTTCATGACATTGAGGTCCTATCAGCTGAAGATTGTTGGTCATTGTTTGCACAACATGCCTTTGAGAATAGAAGTATTGATGCAAATCCAAATTTGGTATCAGTTGGTAGAAAAATTGCAGAGAAATGTAAAGGTTTACCCCTGGCTGCTAAGGCACTCGGTGGCCTTTTACTATGCAAAGAACGAGATGAGGAATGAGAAGATGTATTGCATAGTAAAATATGGGATTTACCACAAGAAAGTGACATCCTTCCAGCTTTGAGGTTAAGTTACCATCATCTGCCTTCACATTCGAAGCAATGCTTTGCATACTGCTCCATAATACCCAACGACTATGAATTTGAGGAAAAGGAGTTGGTCTTCTTGTGGATGGCAGAGGGTTTCATTCAAAAACAAAGAAAGAAGCAAATGGAAGATGTAGGAGGTGAGTACTTCCGGGAATTGTTGTCAAGATCTTTTTTCAAACCATCATATACCAGTAAAAGGTCTAAATTTGTGATGCATGACCTCATCAATGATTTGGCTCAGGTAGTTGCAAGAGACACGTGTTTTAGATTGGATGATAAATTAAAAGATCAGGAGCAATACATAAATCTAAAGAAAGTTCGACATTCATCTTACATGCAAGAGTACTATGAGGGTATGAAAAATTTGAGATCTTTGACAGAGCCATGCATTTACGGACCTTCTTACCATTTCACTTACAAAATATTTCAGATTACAATTTGGCAAGCAATGTTCCCCTTAATTTATTGCCGGAGCTAAGATGCTTGAGGGTGCTCAATATGAGTAGATATCACATCACAGAAGTCCCAAATTCTGTTGGAGATTTGAAACATTTGCGGTACCTTAACTTTTCCGGCACCCTTATTGAAGAATTACCTGAATCACTAGGCTCTCTCTACAATTTACAAACATTGATGTTAAGAAAATGTCGAAATCTAAAAAAGTTGCCGACAGACTTGGGAAACCTAATTGACCTACGTCATCTCGATACTACAGATGCACGTGCCTTGGAAGAAATGCCACTGGGAATAGGTAAGTTGGCTAGTCTTCAAACACTGTCCAATTTTGTTGTTACTAAGAACAATGGGCTTCGAATAAGGGAGTTGGGGAACTTAATTTATCTTCGGGGGAAGCTTTGCCTTTCTGGGTTACAGAACATGGTGGTTCCATGAGATGCAAGGGAGGCGAATTTAAATGATAAGCAGGGCTTAGATGTGTTATCAATGGAATGGAGTGTGCACTCAGATGATTCACGAGATGCAAGAGTTGAAACAGAGGTGCTTGACATGCTACAACCTCACAAGAATTTAAAAGAGCTTCATATCAAAGGCTACCTTGGTACAATATTTCCGACTTGGATAGGAGATCCTTTGTTCTCCAATATGGCTCACCTAAGTTTAAACAATTGTGGAAATTGTACATTCTTGCCACCACTCGAACAACTGCTCTCCCTTAAAAAGCTTTTCATTAGAGGTATGAGTGCACTAAAGCATGTCGGTTGTGAGTTTTATGGGCAGGGTGGTGCCAAACCTTTTCCATTACTAGAGATGTCACGCCTCAAACTCGCCCCTAAAAGTTTGGGCATGACCTATTCAAAAACAGACTTGAAACCTGATATACATAACATATGGGGCCTGAACGGAAGCATTAAATATCAAAATTTGACAATAGAAACAAACTCCATTGAGCTACTACTATCATGCCAGGATCACAAACTTTACACAGACAAATAAAATCTAAAACATACACCTGAATATCGGTTATATACGCACATATATACAAGCCCAGCTCTATAATTGGGCATACATCAAATAAGATTTCGGAAGAAAGTATTATACACATTTCAACCTTAGGCCAATAAGTAAAGTGTAGCGCCAAAAGTTCGTCAAGACTTCACAAAAATATGAGTGGCTTCATCTAGAGTCTGGGCACTCAAAGGTTGACAAAAAGAACGAGCATCATGGCTTAGGATTAACCACTTGGTTGTTTACCTACAGAAACAGACATAACATAAAGTGAGGCAAACTCGGTGGGTAATAGTACTTACATGCTCAATTTACACATAACACCTAGCAACGCATACTTAAATACAAAGATCACGTAGTTAATCTGTTCCTGTTTTCATTTCAAAATGGCCCTAGGCCCAATCGTGAGACATAGTGGCTTAAAACCCTTGAACACATTAACATTAAACTTTTAAACATGATGGCATATAGCCCTTGAACATATGGCATGGAGCCCTTAAACATGGTGGCATATAGCCCTTGTACATATGGCATGAAGCCCTTGTCAGAATGGCATGAAGCCCTTATCAGGATGGCATTACAGCCCTTGAACATATAGATATATGAACTCAAGAGGTGTCTCACACGGATTCTAGAGGTGACTCACATCGTAGCACTTAGTTCCGTGTAGCACTTTGTTTCATATTAGAATGGCATAAACCCTTATCAGATTGGCATTACAGCCCTTATCAGAATGGCATTAAGCCCTTAAAACATATTGGCATTAAAGCCCTTGAAACATATCGGCATTAAAGCCCTTGAAACATGTATATATCTATATGAACCCGAGAGGTGTCTCACACGGATTCTAGAGGTGACTCACATTGTAGCACTTAGTTCCGTGTAGCACTTTGTTCCATACCAATAATTAGCAGGTCTTACAGACCAAACCATACATAAATGTCATGCCATAAACGGAAATAAATTCATACATATGCATTATGCTTGAATCATTAACAGAAATCACAAGTCATACTTACTTATACTTAGCCTTTTTTTTATAGCGCTGGCAAATTAATAAAAAGCATTCTTGTTAGTCCCATAAAGAAATTCCTCAACATTGTGAACTTATAGTACACTTGAACTTGTACATACGTAAGCTTGTAACGTATCTTGTAACATATTTAAGCTTGTGTCATACTTAAACTTGTAAAATACTTAAGCTTGTAACATACTTGAACTTATAACATGCGTATACTGGTAACATACTTGAATTTATAACATACATGAACTTGTAACATGCGTCTACTTGTAATATACTTGAACTTGTAACATACTTGAACTTGTCACATATATAAACTTGTAACATTCTTGAGTTTGTAACATTCTTGACTTATAGCATACGTAAACTTATAATAGACTTAAACTTAGAACATACGTAAACTTGTAACTTAATTATTTGAACCACGGTATTATTATCCTTGAGTAAGGGCCTTGTGCTAAAGATGATGTGAATACTTCTACATATATGAATAATCATTAAGTTAATAGAAAACAGAGCATTTCTTGTTATATCATGTCATTGTCATGCACTTAACAAAATAGAATGATTCATATTCTTATGTGGGTTGCATACTGATGGTAAACCTTTACATTCCTATCATAGATTCTAAACGTTCTTGGGTCCCTTCGTAACATAATCTTAGATTCACACAAATATCATTCTTCAAGGATGAACATAAGTTCCACTTATTCTTTAAGAAATAACATAGCATGCTGATAAATAACAAATGGCTAATATTCGTCATTAACAGAACATAAGGATTCCAAAATCATACCAACGTACGCGAAGCTTTCAGCGTTCATATAAGTTCACATTGCTTTCCAATTGTCATAAATGTTCGTATAACACTTACAAGGAACAGAGCATTAGTGACAATAATTGTCAACAGTAGATAAAATGTACATTTTTGTACTACTACTCACAGTGCAACGGAGTGCTTGCCCCTCCTGGAGTGTGCCCTGTACACACACATAACTTAGTCATTAGTTCTTTTGCTTTCTTAATCCCTTTCCTGCTTCAGTTTACTTCGACTGAATTTATAGGCATCTTAGGGACATCAAACACCTATTTCAAAAATACTAGAGGGTTAAGCACGCAAAACGGGGCGAACAAACTTTTGCAGCTTGGGCCGCACGTGCGGCAGTGCTTCCCGCACGTGCGACAGTGAACCCCGCACGTGCGGCGATCTGGGCAGAAAACAGTTCGAAGCTTCAGCAAAGCTCAGTTTTTGGGGAGTATTCTTGAAGCTCAAAATAGATCTTTTAATTGTTCAAACATAGGTCAACCATCATGTAAATAGGAGCTATAATATAAATCAATCTTCATACAATTTGGACCTTTGATCTTAACTCCCAAACGCAACTTAACTTCATAACATTCCCATCTTCACATACATAGACATATATACACACATGATCATTTAGCTACATGAGCTCTAGAAACATGATTCTCATTAATCATTCACCACCTACTTGTTCCAACACATAAACCCTAACTTGTATAACATAAAGAACTTTCTACTTAATTATCAAAGAGAGGAACCAATTAGAATGAATTACACATACCTTACATTAAAATCTTTATAACCCCTCTAATTCCTCAATCTTCTTCCTTGATGAACTCCCTCACAAACCCTCCTCCTCTCTAATTCTCTCTCTCTCAGGAAATATTGATATAAGGGTCCCAAGTTAAAGAGCTAGCATATACACACATATATATTTTATAAAAGAAAAAGTTGAATAGAACGAAAATCAATCGTTTAAGCATCCCAAATTAAAATTTCACAGAAACATTTAATATTACTTAAAAAATATGCTGATCACATATATAAAATCAATTTCAGATAATTAAGCCCCTAAGGCTTCCAATTTCTGCTTCAAGCATTCTACATGTAACAGATACTTTTCGTGTTCAACAGATGGACATCCTTAAACATGGGATTCACTTACTTAACTGTAATTCCACATGGAATTTCACAATGAGCATATAAATATACAGAATAAGGGAACTGAAAGTATACAAGAATCATAGATGAGGGTCGGGTTATTACAAGAGACTTTAAGCTTTAAGGATATGCCGGAATGGGAGTATTGGTATACTTTTGAAGATAAGGAAGTTCAACCATTTACTCATGTTATTGAGCTCTCCATCAAAAATTGTCCTAAACTTCTTAAAATGCTGCCCAATGATCTACCTTGTTTGAATAATCTAGATATTACGGGGTGCCCGCAATTCCTAGTTGAAGTTTCCAACCTTGTCCTCCCGTCACTCACATCCCTGGTTATGAATGATGTCCCTCTTACAAGCCTTCAAGTGGTCCTTGGGACGAGGAACATGGTTGATGATGAAGTGATGTTGGCAAATGCAAAGTCTAAGCATCCGAGTTCAATAACTTCCTTAAGCATTGGGATGATTAAGAAACTCGAGCTCTTGCCGAAATGGGTTACTCATGGGCTGATGGAACTCAAAGCATTAGAGATCACAAGCTGTGAAGAACTCAAGACACTGTGGAAGAATGAGGCAAGAGTGCAACACAGTCTCCCTACATTCCGATGTTTGAAAATTAAAGGTTGCCCCCAGCTTGTTTCATTGTTTGAAGAAGATGAGGATGAAGAAAACAAAGGGCAACATGAGCAGCAGTAGCAGCAACGAGAGGGACTCCCTTGCATAGTGGGGAGGCTTGAGCATCTAAGAATAGATAATTGTGAAAAGCTGGAGAAACTGCCACGGCTGCTACATACCTTCACTTTTCTTCGAGAGTTGCATGTCTTTGATTGTCCAAGCCTCACCTCTTTTCCAGAGACAGGTTTTCCATGCACGCTAAAAAAACTCGAGATACATGGTTGTGAGGCTCTGCAATCCTTATTCGCGTGGATAATGCAGATTAATGACAATAATCTTGAAGTGTTAGAGGTTGGTGGTTGTCCATCCCTCACATGCTTGATATCGTGCAGAGGTGGGGGGCTACCACCCACACTCAAAAACCTTCAGATTTGGGGGTGTAAAAAGTTGGAGGCACTGCTAGTAGAGAAGGGGATGGAAATTAACTGTCCATCTCTTGAATTTGTTTGGATCTGGGGTTGTGATAGGCTCAAATACTTGCCAGATGCCCTTCCTAATAATAATAATCTCAGGAATCTCGGTCTATTGGCGGTAGGAAGATGTGAGAATTTCGAATCCATTCCGGAAGGATGGTTCCACTTCGCAACAAATCTGACAATATTGAATATCACCGGATGCAAAAAACTGAAGGCCCTGCCAGTTCTGTCACACGGGTTTCAGACCATCAACTACCTCACTTCTCTTCAAACGCTGTCGATGAATATTTCAGAATGGAACAACAACTTCAAGAAGATTGGCTTGCACAGTTTGTCCTCTCTCATAAAACTGTTGATTGAAGGCCCAATTAGTGTGGCAGAGGATGAAGAAGAAGATGATGTAACGGGGTCCAGCTTTCCGATAGATGGGAAGTTGCTGCCCACCTCTCTGATCAGTCTTAGCATCATGAAAATCCGAAATCTGGAGAAGCTATCTTCTAAGTTGTTTCAAAACCTTGCCTCTCTTGAAGAATTTTATATCAGGGGTTGCCCTAGGCTCAAATCTTTACCAGTGCAAAGGCTGCCTCCCTTACTTAAGAGATTGTCGATCAGTGGAAGTCGGAAGCTAACAGGGAAGTGTGAAATGGGAAAAGGCAAATATTGGCCCCACATATCTAAGATTCCTAAAGTCAAGGTCGATGGTGATGATGATGATGATGATGATGATGATGATGATGAGTGATAAGCTCTGTGGAGATTCCCACCACAATACAATGCAGTCAAATTGCCAGGTACCCTATATCACAATAAATACATAAATATGAAATATCATTATCTTCAACAAAATAAAAAAAAAATAAAAATGGCAAATTAAACTAACGGTCCCTATAGTTTGGGGCTTATGTCACTTTGATCCCTGTCTTTTTAATTGTGACACATTTGACTCAAAATTTTGAATTTGTTCAAAATAAGGACAATTGAATATACTATTGCTTAATTTTAAGAACAAAATCATCAATTTGATAAAATATAAACTAATTTGATAAAAATAAATGTCAAAAAAATATTTTTGAATATTTAAAAATTATTTCTACCCACTAAAGATAAAATTATGTAAAATTGATAAATCTTTTAGACATTTATATATATATTTATTTATTTATTTATATCAAATTAATTTTTACTATGTGTTTGGATGATGATCATGTAATGGGTAGTTTTTATTTTCATTAAATTAGTTTCTATTTTTTCAAAAGTCAAATATGGCGACAACTTTAATATCATTATTAAATCAATCCATTAAATCAAAAATCCAAAACTAAAAACATGTCATATATTAAATATATTGATTACACATTATAATCCTAACAACCACCCATTACATGGTCATCATCTAAACACATAATAAAAATTAATTTTGTAAAATAAATAAATGTGTAAAAAAATTATCAATTTTACATGATTTTATCTTTGATGGGTAGAAATAATTTTTAAAAATTTAAAAATATTTTTTTGATATTTATTTTTGTCAAATTAGTTTATATTTTATCAAATTGATGATTTTGCCCTTGAAATTAAACAATGGTATCTTCAATTGTCCTTATTTGGAACAAGATTCAAAATTCAAGGTCGAATGGTCGCTATTGAAAAGTCATAGACCAAACGGATACGAACCCCAAACAATAAGAACTATTAGTGTAATTCGCCCAATAAAAAAACATGTTTGGTTGTGTTTTCAATTTATTTTTATTTTTATTTTTTTTTGTTTTTAAAACACAGAAATTAATTTGATAAAAATACACATTTAAAAGATATTTTCAGATTTTAAAAAATATATATTTTTTTTCAAAAATAGAAAACCATATGAAAAACAATAAGTGTTTTTATTAAGATTTTTTACTTTTATAGATTTTAAAAAACTCAACCAAACAGTCAGATTGACAGCAAATATTTCCAGCATTGCTAATTTTTAATGTCTTTCTGCTTATTGATTTTCAGCAATTTTTTGAATGAGGGATGGCTATGCATGACAATGTATTTTAAGGGTTTGTTATGAGGTTCTATTTCTATGATTCTGGCTCTTCCCATACTTATTGTAAGTATCATCAAAGCTAACTTTGTTTCTCAAATATTCTTTTTTTCTTTTATTTTGTAAAATTGCTTCTCCACCTATGAAATTGAACTCTTGAAATAGAACCATATGTGAAGTTTGTCAATTTAACAAAATTCTTGATTTCGTTTATTAGCTAAGCTTTTCATTGAATAGTTTTTGCTTTTAGCATTTTGTTGATTGGAGTCTAATATTGTGTTCGATTGGGGGGATTTGGAAAGAGAAAGGGAAATGTAATCCCATTTTTGTTTGGTTATAATAAACAATATATGGGAAAAGAAAGGGAGTGAAAAATAAATTAAGAAATAGGAGAACCTTCTAGAACATCAATTATTTTTTATATATGTGAGAAAAGACCCAGGAAAACTGAGAGGAAAAATTTATCAGGGAGAGAGAGTTTCATTGTTCATGGCTTCTCGCAAGAGACCATTCATGAGTAGCTTCAAAAAACCACCACCAACAAGTTTTGAAGATCTAACTCCGGTAGCAAACTCTGATTCACAGCATCATTCAGCAAACCCTTCCAATTAGGGATCATCATTTGCTTCAATTGGTAATCTTCAATCAATGAACTCGATTGAAGATTCATTGCCTGGCATTTTCGATTAGGTATTCGTGCTCCTCTTTTATTTTCTCTTACCTTCTCATCAAACTCAGATCTATATTGATTTCTATGGATTTGTGTTCAAGCTACTTTACAATTTTGCTTCGAAGTGAAATTGCAAATCTAACTCTGGTAGCAATCTCTGATTCGCAGCATCATTCAACAAATCGTTCCAATCGGGGATCATCATCATCTGCTTCAATTGGTAATCTTCAATCACTGAACTCGATTAATAATTCATTGCTCGAAAATTTCAATAAGGTATTTATGCCCCTCTTTCATTATCTCTTCTTCTCTCATCGAACTCAGATCTGTATTGAAAATTCTATACATACACACACCTATATATGTTTTATTATGAATAAGAGATTATAGATACATGGATTTGTTTATCTATGTTCAAGCTGCTTTGCAATTTTTGCTTTGAAGTGAAATTGCAGAAACCCTATTTGTTTTCTAAGTAGTTTGATGATTTAATATATTTTTTTCACTTTGCATGAGATTAAATTGGATTTACATTTTTTTGTTTGTTTTATTTTATCTGTTTATATATTTGTTTGTTGTGACAATTTGCTTGTTATAGTCTATAGATGTGTGCCTATTTGGTTTATTTCACTTTCTTTTGTTTTGTGTTTTTTTCATGATTTCAAGCTTTATAAATTAACCCTTTCATTCTCATGAAATGTTTGATTGAATGTTTATTTGAAACGTGAGTTTTTGGATGGTCTGTTGCATTGGATTAAATTAATTTGGGGTAATATGAGTATAGATCATCTCAGATGAATTTGTAGGACAATAGAAGTGGTGTATAATGGAAACAGTCCTATATTTGGTGCATGTTAACTTCAAGTAGAGTATTTGTTTTAGTATTATTTAAATTAAAAGGGGTAGACTCTATTGCACGTGAAATTAGTTGATTGGGAAAACAAGTTTGAAGCATTGTACCCAAATGGGTTGTCATTTTGAGTGTTGCCTAGTCTATGAACTTTTTGATGTATCATTTCAATTTTGGAACATTATTAACAAGTGGATGTGATTTTTTATTTTAAAAAATTGTAGATACATGATCAAGAGGAGTGGGAAAAGTATAGAAAGTGGGCAACCACTTGTGTAGCTATGTATGCTCCATATGCTGTCAGCCTTGTCTCAATTCTTCATTGTCGTGATTATAGAAGGAAGTCAATTTCAGAACAAGGAGATTATGAAAGATATGTCCTAATTAAACGGCTAACGGCTTTGGAAGATGCAGATTGTCGTAGCCAGTTACGCATGAGCAAAGATGTGTTTGCCACACTAGTTAGCATGCTTAAAAGAACTCAGTTTCTTAGAGACAATCCTCAAAGTGAAGTAGAAGAACAAGTTATGAAATTCCTTCATATAATTGGCAATAATTTGAGGAATCGTACAATCAAGTTCTTTTACAGACAATCAGGCAAGATTGTTAGTCGACATTTTCATCAAGTTTTTAAAGCCATTATATCATTGGAAGATATCTTTTTAAAGCAACTTGATGGATTCAATTGCCCTCCAGATATTAGAAACAATCCCAAGTATTGGCCTTATTTTAAGGTAGTTACATGAATGCAATTAGGGTATTTAATATTATATGTTAGGATCCAAATAATGAATTTTTACAGTATTGTGTTGGTGCGATTAATGGTACATATTTTCGTGTAAGAGTGCCGAACAAGGATGCACAAAGATACTGAGGATGAAAATGCTATCCCACTCAAAATGCTTTGGTTGCATGTTATTTTGATTTAGACTTTACATATATCCTTCGGGGATGGGAAGGATCTACTTTAGACTCGAGAATATTAGATAATGCATTAACAAAAGAAATGGATAAATTGATCGTTCCCCAAGGTGATCACTGAACGTGCATATATGCTGATGAATATAAATCTTTTTTTGTTTTCGTTCAAACTAATATCATTTAATCACTTGTTGGTCCTAGGGAAATATTAGTTAGTAGGATTTCAACTAAAAACTGGGTTCCTTGCTCCATATAGAAGTACTCATTACCATTTGAAGGAGTATAGTGTTCATCAACCAGAAAATTCTCGAGAGCTTTTCAACCTTCGTCATGCATCTTTGCGAAATGCAATTGAAAGAGCCTTTGGTGTCCTAAAGAAAAGGCTTCCAATCTTAGGAAGTGGGACTGAGCCATATTATGATGTTAACACTCAAGTCGATATTGTTTTGGCATGTTGTATTTTGCACAACTACCTTATGGGTATAGATCCCAATGAAAGTTTTATTGAGGAGGTTGATACAGAGCTTAGAAGAGCACAAGTGCAAACTAACATGGCAAGATCAAGTTTAGCTAAAGAATGTAGGGAATGAGAATTGTTAAGGGAACAAATAGCTACTGACATGTGGAGGGATTATGATATAAATCTTCAATAACAATCAAATTATAATATAGATCCTGGAAAACAAAGAGGGGTTGAAAGGGTTATTTGATGTTCTTGTTCTTGTTCTTGTGATATACCCATTATGTACTCATTTGCTTTACATCAATATAATCTTTTTCTTTTGCTGATAAAACAAAAAATTGACAAGTTAATTATTATTATTTGAATGTTATCTTGGAATGAATTATATTTTAATTTGTTATTGTATTATGTGAAACATTGCGTTTGTTTGGGTGATAATTTGCTACTAGCTATGCTCTTCTTCCGATATGTTTAATGGCATTTTTGAGTGTAGGTGGAAGGTGACCAAGAATGTTCAGTAGAAATTGACAAGAAACATTTGAAATGGAATAATCAAATGGATGTTGTTCTTATTGACTCACTCTTGGACCAAATGCTCAAAGGGCAAAAAATTGGTGGTAGATTTACATCATCGACTTATAGAGCTGCAAGCAATGAGGTGAGTACCAAGTTTAGTGTACATTGTGATTTCGGTCATGTAAAGAATCAATTGAAGACTTTAAAAAGGAATCTTGCAATGGCTAAAGATATGTTAACAAGTGATAGTGGATTTGGATATAATCATTCAACACAATTGATTGAAGCTACAA